CCCCCCCCCCCAAGAAAAGTCCCTTTTTCCTAAATTTATACAAACAAACCAGCGAAGAATAACAAATTGATAAACGGAACGTACGTTTTAGGCTTTATCCTTTGTCCTTCTTTAACAAAATCGATTTAAAGGACTGTGTCACCGCGTGCGCATCCTACGTGTTTCTAACACTAAGTAATGATAAATTATTGTTAATATTTTTAAAATTCTTTGTGTGTTTTTCCTTCTTTTATTTCAAATAGAAGTATAGTTAGGATAAATTCTAGAAAATTTAGATGCTCAGACGGCAGAAAATGGCATTTTTGGGCTTAAAATTTCAAAAATTATCTGGGGGAGTTAATGCCTCCAGACCCCCCTATTCATTCGCGGTATGTCGGCCACACACGTGACCCACGGCCATTGCTATCCCCCTTTAATAATAAGTAATGGACAAATTATTGTTAAGGTTTCTTTTATTTTTTCTGCATTTTTTCCTTCTTTTATTTCAAATACAAGTATAATTAGCATAAATTTTAGAGCAATTTTAGACGCTCATAAAGCAGGAAATGGTAATTGAAAGGTTCAAATTTAAAACATTTTCTGGGGGAGTATGTCGGCCACACACCGTGGCCGTCGGCCATTGCTATACCCCCCACGGGAAAATCCTTAAAAAAGGCCTTGTTGTCCTGTATTTCGGTCTCGGAACTGTCGTATGTCGCGGTATACGTTAACTGTGTAGTTCGTATATTTGCCTAGCCACATGTTGTGATTGAGGCTATGTGAGGATTGTAAGTTTATCACCTAGTACTATTTTAAGTAGATGCAGTTCGTGAGTTAGGTTTTGTGCATGCTCACAGGGTTTTGAAAGCAAACCATGCTGTGAAATATGTGAAGCCTATGGTTTGTGTCATGTATCTAACTATCTAGGTAGAATACCTAAAAGTAGATGTTGTACAAACTACAAAGTTGTGGTTTATAGAATCTGGCAGACCTCCCCCGCCCCTTGTCTCCTATTTTCTCCCTTTCCCCCTCGCCCCACCATTCCCTCTGTTCCCCGTTCCTCCACTTCCCGTTCTCCCATTCCCCGTTTCTCCATTCCCCGTTCCCCCATTCCCCGTTCCGGGTTTTAAAGATAGCCGGTTTCAGTCTATTTCACGTTTTTCGACAGAGAAGACGATCTTTTTGCCTGTATTCAATCTACAAACACTAAAAACAAGTTTACTAGTCGTATTTTACTCGTATTCTACTCGTATGTACTTGTGTTTTACTCGTATGTACTCGTGTGTTACTCGTATGTACTCGTATGTTACTCGTATGTTACTCGTATGTACTCGTATGTTACTCGTATGTACTCGTGTGTTCCTCGTATGTACTCGTATGTACCTTTGTGTTACTCGTATGTTACTCGTATGTACTCGTGTGGTGTTTTAGTCACGATCGATATTCAGGTTACATAACGGATAAAACTTAATTCGTTCAATTAAATTCGTCTGAATTAAATTCGACGATAGTGCGACGTATGAAACAGACCTAACCTTTAAAAGGCTCGTGAACCACGATTGTTTAACGTATTCTACCGTAGCAAATACCAGTTGAGCATGTTTTGAAATGTATTCTTAAAAATCATCGTCCAACTTCATATAGTTGCAATGCCAAGTGACGTAGCCTCAACCATATCTGGTCTTGAAATGAATTATACTTTAAAGTGAACAAATAACAAGACAACTATCAGAAATATTCAATCACTGCTGGTGCTGACATTTAGCTAATCGCAACTATTGCCAAAGACCAAACATTTCCGTATCCCGTAGGCGTAGGACAGGGCCTTTTTTAACATACAAGCTAGGGGGCAAATGCCCTCCCCAATCCCCTCTTGTACCCCCCCCCCACGAAATCACATTGTGCCCCCCCACCCCCACCCCGCAAGGAAAAGTCCCTTTTTCTAAATTTATACAAACAAACCAGCAGGGTTTTTTTTCTGGGATTTTTTAGGCCTTCGGCCATTGGCATCCTCCTATAATTTTAGAGCAAAATTGGATGCTCAGAATATATGGAGGAAATGGCATTTCTGGGCTTCAAATTTCAAAGATTTTCCCACAGACCCCTTATTCATGTGTGGTATGTCGGCCACACGTGGCCTTCAGCCATTGCTATCCCCCTCTGATATATTCAAAAAATGCCCGAACCCCGGGAAAATCCTTAAAAAAGGCTCTGGCGTAGGAAGAAGCACGATAATAGGCGTCTTCACCACGTAGCAAATTAATAATAGACTTCCAGAGTTCTGGTTTCAACTAAATTTCGATCTAAGCCTAAATAGTCTAAACATGCAATATCAGAGAGTTTCCAGGGCCATAACTTGGGGGGGGGGGATATTTCATATATTCATGTTCACATACCGTAAAATCAATCGCTTTCAAATGAAATCCGTCGGACAGAACACAAATATATGAATATACACCCACCCAATTATCGCGTCTAGGAACGGCCATGAGAGTTTCCCCAAAGCATTACAGGTAACAGGCATATTTTTATGAGAATATATACGGCTATCTGCTATTCGATACACAGGCAAAATTATTGTTGACAGTTGACCGATTTGAGTTATGTAATTACTTCCATCAACGAGATTAACCAATGGGAATTAAGCCGAAGTTTCTTCGGTCAAAAACAAATTTGTCATAGCCATTTCGGCAGGCGTTTCCTCGACGACGCCCTCTCTTCTTCCGCCCGCACTAAACGCCTGCAACGCAGGCTACAGTGTATGCCCATAGTGTATGCCGGATACATCAATTCCAAGGGAGTTGGGAAAAATATCCAAATTTCCGAGGGGTTCAGACAAATGTAAAAATTTCTGATGGGGTTAGGGCCCCCACTGAGGGGTTGAGAAAAATTCCGAGGGGTTGAGAAAAATCGTAAATTTCCGAGGGGGTAAAAAATCTGGGAGTGTTTCTGAGGGGGTAAGAAAATTATATAAAATTTCCGAAGGGGTTATAAAAATTTGAAAATTTCCTAAGGGGTAAAAAATCAGCAACCTCGTCAACAGGGTCTGTTTCTGAGGGGTAAGAAAATTATACAAAATTTCCGAAGGGGGATGAAAAATTTCAAAATTTCCGAAGGGGTCTTCTGTGATGGAACCTCGTCAACAAGTATTTCCGAAGGGCTTGAGTAAAATTGAAAATTTCCAAGGGGGTTCCGCGAAAAATAGCAAATTTCCGAGGGGGTCTTCCCAAAAACCGTTTCCGAAGGGGTCCAAAATCAGTAACTTCGTCCACAGGGGGGTGTGGATATTAAATGGAATGGCCCAACATGCCCCTGCGACTTGTCGCTCCGTGTGACCGAACCTTTAGAGGGAAATCCGTCTTCTAATATGAATTCAGCTAATGCTTTAATGAAATACTCCTAAAACAGTATTATACTACACTAAGAGGAGACTATGAATGTACCATATAACAGAATTTTAACATCCCATATATAATTAATAAACAATTGATATTATTAAAAAGGCATGCACGGTCACTCACGAAAAAGCTTTATGATGTTACTTCGGGCAATCTTCTAGCAACATAACAACACCGACAATCATCCTGTAGAAAGCAGCCATATTTGTTTTACAACCTGTTTGCAGGCGCACAGCCCTAATTAGTCCACCTGAGTGTTTAACGCACGCACTCCTGCCTAATCTCCCGCATTTGGCGGTCATTACTCATCTCCCTCCCACATGAAGACAATTTGAAGAAATCTCCCGCATTCTTTGTGTTTTACCTGCAACACAGTAGTGTTGGGAGTGCTACCAGAAAAAACTAACAAATTATCTAGTAGTAGTAGTAGTAGTAGTAGTCCTGGCTGTCAGCGACAGAAGTCACTGCTATCAATAGAAGCTCTGATATACAAGTAAAAATAATACATATGTTCAACAATTTATAAATCTAAGAGTTCTATAATTTAAATTCAAGTTCAATACGAGCTAAAAGTTTAAAGCTAAAAATTCTATACTAAATTAGAAAGTCATGACACCGATGACGGGCGATGTCGATTGATATGTGTTGCACAGCTGAGCAAGAGTGCTTTGAATGCAGTCTTAGCTTCAAGGTTCTCTTAAACGAAGCGCTCACAGCAATCCCTTCAGTTCCCGCTAGAGATTTCGTTGAGCTCAGGTTTATTATCAACTCACGTCACACGCAGAAAAATCACAAATATTGTAATCTCCCTCCTTTTATCATATGCACTACACCTTGGCAGGCCTGAGCATAGTATCTAGTGCTATGCGCAGATACAAAAATCATTCACGACAAACACTACACAACACGTTCGCGACACGTTGGCGACACATTCGTGACAGTTACTACCATATATATGGAAACCAGGCTTAATAGACATGCCCTCAGACAATACTAACTTCCAAATGAAAGGCTTTCACTTGAGAGATTGTTGTATATTTTTCATGTAGTTTTATCACTCAGCCACGCCTACACAGTGACACTGTAAAGTCATTGAAAGACAATATATATTTCTAAAAGTAAATCAGTCAAATTTACATAGCATAACCAGTTGCTATGGTTTACCAGATTAACCGTGGTCAAATTTTAGTGGCAGCTATCATAGATATCTTATATACACTAGATAGTGCATCTAGTTATTCTGCAATTCAAAAATTGAAGTCGTGATTGCAGGCTCAGGTCGTTCCCATGAAATGAGAGAATATTCGTATATTTTCTATTTCTTAAACAGGGAACTTAAAAATTAAGTTAAACCTATTCCAAATACATTTTTAAACTATTCAAATGATGAAAGTTATTGTTGTTTTTAAGCGTTTATTAGCCTCTGGGAACGACCAACATGGCCGCCATCTATTCAAATGGGGGTCACCGCTGGAATATTCTTGGCTTCAATTTTACCAAAAGAGATGCGCTATCTACTGTATATAAGATATCTATGGGCAGCTATAGACGTGGATGAAGCATCCGATCACGAAGGTTATCGTACTGAATGTCAGATATCTGTGCGCAGAGGAAGACCAAGGTTTAAAATAAGCAAAGAGCAACTTGACTTTTTTGTTGAAAGTGGATTTACAGTGCCTAACATTGCTTGTCAGCTCAATGTCAGTTGCAGTACAGTAGAAAGGATGTGAGAATTTAGCATTTCTGTGAGAAATAAATATTCCAATGTATCCGATGAAGGACTCGACAACATTGTTCTCGACGTTAAAAGAAATTTTCCAAACATAGGATACAAACGAATGAAAGGTTTCTTGTCTCAACGTGGGTATACGGTTCAGCAAGATCGTTTAAGAGAAAGTATGCGAAGAGTTGACCCAGAGGGAGTGTTGTTGCGGGGATTGGAAATGAGAGTTATAAATCGTCGACATTATCGTGTTGCTGGTCCTCAATGTTTATGGCACATCGATGGAAATCACAAATTGATTCGATTAGTATTACATCGACTACTTCTTAACCTTAATTAAGCGAGGTGTTTAAAAATTATCAAACTGAGCTCTTGCTGTCCATACTCACACTGAACTGTCGAGGTTTAATAGTAGTTTATTATGTATGACCATATATGGTACTCTTGCCATTCCCATTGGCTGCTTGCTTCAGCCTTGTCAAACTGGAAACAGTGACAATCAATATTGACAATACTATTTAAGAATTAAAAAAAACTCTAACATGACAACATAACTCTGAGAATGTTTGACATTGTTAATTTTGATAGTTTTGACCATTGGGCTATTGCATTTAAAATCCAAATCCTCCCTGTTCCACACCTCTCTTGTAACCCCCCTAAAGAATTTAGATTTTTACGAACCCCCTGGAGAATTCCAGTGAAATCTTTGGCAAACCCTTAAGAATTCCAGGTGAAATATTAGACTAACAGTAACCCCAAAGAATATACTCTGGGAACGGGGGAACCGGAAATCTTTGGACTAACCCCGAATATTAGGCTGAATAATAGCCCAGTATAGCTCATTTTCAAGGACTTTTGAGTGTTTTCACATGAATGGGGATTCACATTTTAGTAATGCCTGCAGGCATTACAGAAAAATCTCGCACCATCAGAGTGCTTCATTTGACGGAAACTGGTGCTCGCCGGTTCTAAATAAGCTTGAAGTATAGCGTTCAAGCAAACCAAGTAACCCACCATAATTACATAGTTTATGGACATATTTCCTTCGCTAAGCCTAGGGGAATCAATGCATGCAATTATTGCCTATGATAAGCCACAGTCTAAATAAGCCCAGGGATATTTTCAAGCACTTTAGTATACTACCGTTTTTCAGAAGATTGAGTTTCTTTTGGAGGGGGGGAGAACGTCAAAATATTTTGTGGTCAGGGAGCGCACTTTCCAAAATATTTTAGAGGGGTGTAAAATAAACGACTTTTATGTGTTTGCATGTTGGAAAGGGGAGTTCCTCGAGGTGCTACATGCACCATGGTTGGCACCGAGCGGAAAAATTTTGAAACTTTGAAGTCTGTAGATCGTCGGAAATGGCATTTTCAGACTTTAGTTTGGCCATCAGCTAGCTGTAGAGCACAGAAAGGAAGTTGATTCAGGGAGTGTCAATGGAACATTTACATTAAAAAATCAAATTGTGAAAAAAAATTATTGTGGGGGAAGATTGAGTTTCAAAACTCAATTGAAGATTGAGTATTTACTACTGTATACCGGTAGTAGAAAAGTGCTTGAAAATATCCCTGTAGCCACAATTTATACTCACTTGCATGCATGCTCACGTTTTTGTGGTTAGCCCGTTCGCGGGCTAGCCACAATGTAAAGCTGAACGAAGGATGTCAAGATGTGACGGAAGTTGTCGTCAACTTCGGAAACTGTCGTTCATGACATCAGATTGCCTGCGATCAGGCCAGAAATAAGTAAACATCGATCAGATCGAGCTGTGAGTTCGAGCAACACTGCAGTGTGCTTTGGAATTGGAAATTTGCCAGGGTGCATTCCGTGTAAACCTCACGCCGAAGATAATCTGAGGTAGTGTTACCGTGCGCCAAGTGAGGCCAACTTATGCGCCGGCTGATCGCGGGCACCAGGTTTTTTCATTAATAGTTAGTTGCTTAAAATTTAAACTTCCTAAAAAGGCGTGTAACGCACTGATGAATAAAATGTTTTTCTGATGAGCAATGATGAGTGTTGTTACTGTTATATCACAAGTTATAACCACCATTTAGCTACTATTACAACCAGAAACACAAATTTCTCGAGTCCCTAAATAATTATAGAGGCCAATCATCAGGCGATTATTAATACTCAAAGTCTCGCTTAAACATTTGATGCTGCGCCAACCACCAAAACTAAAAACTTGTGCGCCAACCTTGACGTGATTGTGCGCCAGCAATTCAAAACTCACGCCGAAGATCTTCCACAAAACGTGCATGGAATGCACTCAAATTTGGTATTATATGTTCAATATTTCATCAAACAAAACAACGGAGATAAAGATAAACCAATTGTCGACAAAACATCAAAGATGAAGGTATATCAATGTATATCATCGCTATTTTGGTTGACATTTCGGTAATGTTACTAAACAGCAATATTATTATTTGAAAGTGTACCGTATTAATTAAACCTATACTGGCTATAGATTGAACACTCTTTTCATATTTAAGGAGTGAAGGTTTGATATTGAATTCACCACTAAGCAACTATTGACAATATTACTGAAGTGTAGCCAGGGGCGTGGCGAACGATTCCAGATTGGGGAGGGGGGGCGTCATACCATAATGACCAACTTTTTCAATGAAAATGACCAACGTTTTCGTGTTTAAAAAAATTTTTCTCGAAATTTTTTTTTGGCTACTACCCCCCCCCGTCGCCAAAAAATTTTCAGTGTACCATTTTAGGGGTAAAAAAATTTTCCGGACCTATCGCATTTTTCGCGACATTAAAATTTTTTCGGATATCACAAATTTTCTCCGTTTATCAAAGAACTTTTTCTAAAATTCTGAACATTTTTTGGATTTTCTAAAATTTTTGTAAATAATATAAGATCTCGTTTAATATTTAAATAATTCCTTTGACCAACTTTTCAAAAATTTTGACCAACTTTTCAAAAATTTTGACCAACTTTTCAAATATCAGAATTATTGGGGGGGGGGCGTCGCCCCCCCCCCCCAAGACCCCCCAGTCGCCACGCCCCTGAGTGTAGCGTTTAAAGTAGAAACAATCAAAGTATCAAACAAAGTAGTTACTGATATTTTCTTTAGAATATTCTCGACATATTTCAAGTTGGTTTTTAGCAAACCATATGTTTGTTTCACTTATAAGTGGCATTCCTTTTATATGTACTTTATAGTAAGATTTTTATATTAATTGGAAAGTTGTTTATATTAATTGGAAAGTTGACAGAACATTAATTAAATCATGATTGAATATTTTGAAGTACATACTATTAATACGGTAATATGGGTATTATCATTGCAGGTAATTGCAGTAGCAGACTTGCATATACGTTCTTTTCAGAGGGTCCTGAAGGGGGGGGGGGGTCCCAATCCCATTTCCCACCTGAAATTTTGGCAAAATCCCAGTCCCAGTTGGATTTTTATTAGAAATCCCAGTCCCAGTTATTGAAATCCCAGTCAATAAAAAACCCTTTATTTATCGGTAGAATAAACAGTTTTAAGATCTTTTAAGCAAGTGGCGGACACTTTATGAAGTATTAGGGAGGGGGGGGGCTCGTGCCGAAGGCACGGAAAATTTTTAAATTTGAATCCCGGAAATGGCATTTGCAGCATTCTGAGACACGCATTAATCAGAAAACCCAGAATTCCGGGCGCCAGAGTATGCCTGTTCGCAGGTAGTGCTGTGAATAATATAGTTAACAACAAAAAAAAATCATGACCAAATATACTCAAAACGCAGAAAAATTGGGAATCGACTCGCATTACCTCAATCCCATTCCCATTTTTGAGGACTTCATTTCCCATTCCCAGTGAGCAAATCCCAGTCCCAGCAACCCAAATCCCATTTTCCCAGTCTAAAAATAGGTCAATCCCAGTTCCCATTTTACCCCTTCAGGGCCCTCTTTTCATGATATGTTAGCCATATATTAAAGAAAATTAAAACAGAACCAGACACAGTACTAAAATGCGGTGCCCGCCTACAAATAAAACTTTCGGCGTTTCCGCCTACATGCACAAGTAAAGTTATATTTAGCACGCTACACATTTTCCTGTCGGCCGCCAGTTGGTCCGTACGTTAGGATCAAAACTGCGTTTTAAAGCCTTCAAAATAAAATATTTTGAGCTCAAAATACTATCAAAATGAGGAGAAAAGTGAGACGAATCCACTTGCATACGGCCGAAAACGAGAAAACCAACAATTCCGAAGTTATCAAGGATCAAACGGACTGCATTTTTATAATTAGTTTAATCATTTTGAGCGTTTGTCAACAATACAATTTCGCTTATTAAAACTGTACATTAAAACCTTCAAATTATAATATTTTGGGATCAAACTGCTAAGGCGTAAAAAAATACCTGTGGTTCCGGTTTCATATCGTGAAAAAATTAGGGTCGGTAGGTCGGAAATAAATTTTTTTTTTGAATATTTTTTTCATGGTTTTGCCGTAATTATTGTGACAACAGACGCCATTTTGGCACGCTGTATGAGCAGCCCGCAACCACCTGGAGAAAATAGGGTCCAACGGTCAATCGCGTTGAAAAAATAATAAGGTCGGCAGAAAAAAATAGGGTCGGGCGGGAACCGGAACCACAGGTTGTTTTTTTTACGCCTAACAAAATAAAGAGAAAAGTGAGACGAATCCACTAGTATACGACCGAAAAAGAGAAAACCAACAATACGAAAGTTATCAAGGTCAAATGTATTGCATTTTTAATTAGTTTAATCATAGCAGCCCAAAAATGCGTGTTGAAATTTTTACCCTCACGCTTGGCGCTCGGGCATGCATCGAGTCTACTCAGTTTATTATTATGACTGAAAACACTCGCCCGTCGGGCATCGTGTTTCCACAAAACTCATTATAGTCTTTATATAACTTTATATCAACGCAGAAAGATGTTTTATAATTCTTAGATATTCACGATACTGCCATAATTTTTTTAAATTCAACACAATACAGACATTGGGCTGCTGTGTTGTGATATGAATTCCAATTTTTTCTCCCAAAGGAGAGGCTAGCCACATGTACGCAGGGCGTACCTATTTTTTTCAGTGATATACCTCTAGAAACAGTGTCACAGCAAATAAGTCGTTTGTATTGATATACAACTGAGTTTGGGTACAACTAATTTTTAATGAAAATGTTAATTTTATCTTCACTACTGTAGCTGGCGATACATGGAGGGATTGATGGTTTCTCACGTCTTGTTGTATTTTTAAAGTGTGTAGACAACAACAGGGCACCCACATGACAGTGCTGGAGCATTTTGAAAAGGCAGTAAACATGTATGGTATTCCTAGTAGAGTTCGATTGGACAAGGGGGGTGAAAACACTCTTGTTGCTATGTACATGCTTACTAACCGAGGTACAAACCGTGGAAGTCACATTACCGGTAGGAGTGTGCATAATCAACGAATCGAACGTCTTTGGAGAGACTTGTTTATTGCTTGCATTTCACTGTTTTATAATCTTTTCTATTTTATGGAAGAGCATGGTTTACTAGATCCTACAGATGAAATCCACTTGTTTGCATTACACTATGTTTTCCTACCAAGAATAAATCAAAATCTAGAAATATTTAGAGAAAGTCACAACAAAGCACCATTAAGCACAGAAAAAAACAGATCTCCTGAGCAATTATGGTTGACTGGTATGCTTAACAGAAGTATTGAAGAGGCTGATGCTGAAGACAATCAGGTTAGGCAAAAATTAGAAGTATAGATTACATGAAAATAATGATGTGACCGATAATATAAAGTAAACAATCAAGTTAAACACACCTGTTTCTCAAATTTTAACCAACGAACAGGCGTACTCATTACGGCCTGCGGAGGAAGTAGATCAAATATTATGTTACTGTATGAAATGTTACAAGCAAAAATGTCAGTTTTAGTCTTTCATCATTACTAATATTCTTCTTCACCGTTCTGTTTTTTTTTAGGAACGCAATTTGCATCGAGTTGATTGGGATGTGGCAGATGTGTCAAGAGCCGACTCAGTTGAAGTTCCAGAAGTACCTGCACCAACATCGCAAAATGGGCTTTGGGAATTAAATGAAGTCATTGATCCTTTAAAAGAGAGTGATTGTCATGGTATAGACATATACATAGAAACACTGGAGTATATTTGGAACAGAATATAATTTGATTGTTTTTCTGAAACGTTCATAAATAATTTTGTGTTTTTAATTTAAATCAAGGATCGCACAAGAGGTTTTTGATAATATTTTTACTTTAGCTACGTTTCAGATAGTTTACCATCCATCCCCAGGCTATTTACACAAATTGTTCTAAACAAATTGTTCTATTTACAGAACAATTTGTGTAAATAACCTGAGGACTCTCATTTCCAATCCCCGCAACAATACCCCCTCTGGGTCAACTCTTCGCATACTTTCTCTTAAACGATCTTGCTGAACCATATACCCACGTTGAGACAAGAAACCCTTCATTCGTTTGTATCCTGGTAGGTCGGTTTAGATATTTTTGTGGCAACTTGAATGTAGACCTGGCCCAGTACGTGTGAAAAGTGTGGGCATGTAATTTTGATGCTTTCTGTATATTTACTAATAACTACTAGGAGTTACAATCGCAAGGGGAAGTGCTGCCGTATGGCCTTGTAAAAATTGTCATCTACACTGACTGATCAAATAGATAACTAACCAAAATGAAGATTATGTGCGGTTATCGCAAATTTACTCACACTTGTGTGGGCGCGTTTTGTCAGTAGGCATCCGCAGCAAAATTTAACTTATTGTCTATATCTTATTGTCTCATATTACTTCAGAGCAAAATATAAACCCAAATAATAGCACGCGATTTTCATATAAATGATTCCTTCAAGCTTTTCGCTGGACGTTAACTTCACATTCATGTTTTGTCCTTGCTGATTCTTCATAAATTCTCTCTTTATTTGCTCGATGCTTGACATCAATAGATGTTGCAGAATTTCGTTATCGCATCACATTTCCATTTGTGCTTGTCTGGCCTTTTTCTGAAACGTTCATAAATAATTTTGTGTTTTTAATTTAAATCAAGGATCGCACAAGAGGTTTTTGATAATATTTTTACTTTAGCTACGTTTCAGATAGTTTACTATCCATCCCCAGGCTATTTACACAAATTGTTCTAAACAAATTGTTCTATTTACAGAACAATTTGTGTAAATAGCCTGAAGACTCTCATTTCCAATCCCCGCAACAATACTCCCTCTGGGTCAACTCTTCGCATACTTTCTCTTAAACGATCTTGCTGAACCATATACCCACGTTGAGACAAGAAACCTTTCACTGATTCGTTTGTATCCTAAAAAAATGTCTTTTAACGTCGAGGACAATGTTGTCGAGTCCTTCATCGGATACATTGGAATATATATTTCTCACAGAAATGCTAAATTCTCTCATCCTTCCACAGGCGGCCCAATCTCGCAAGGGTCAGTATAGACTTTATATAGTATAAATGTATATTATAGTAATGTATATTATAGTAAAAATGTCATAAAATATAAATTTTAAAATGGAATTGACTTGTCTATTTGATAGTGTGTGTTCTCCTTTTATTCCTCCTTTGTTGGACTAATATTTTCCGAGACTTTGTACTTGATGTTACTAGTATACATGAAACATGATAAAGGCTAACGATTTCCGATCGTCGATCCGACGGCACGGCACTTCCAATTGAAAATTCTCATACTCAAATCGCTTTATTCTCCAAAAAAATTCGCCAGCATGTACAACAGATGCCGTTCTTCGAAAATACGGAGATACTTCGGAGAGATGTACAAGTTTTGGACCATATTTTCACAATGGAAATCAAAACCCATTTTATATTGAACTTGCCCAGGCCGAAAATTACTACGGCGAACGTCTGCGCAACCAGACCTCCTTACCATTGAGATTTACAGGGGGGAGGATGCCACAATATATTAACGATCATATTTCGAATTAAAGTATCATATTCTACCATGTTTTCCAACAAAGAGCCGCTGTATATTTCTTCTTCCTTAAATTCCTACAATCTCCGTCGTTTAGTTTTCTTTTCTTCGACAACATCTCGAGTTTTATACAGTATCCGATCGCAGGAGTTTTTATTTTGAATATCAAATTTCAAATAATGTAAACAGTCGTTATCACGGTTGCGATTGGCTGGCTGTTACCGAAAATATCTGCTCCCCCCCCTGTAAATCCAACGGTAAAGGAGGCCTGGTTGCGCAGACGTTCGCCGTAGTAATTTTCGGCCTGGGCAAGTTCAATATAAAATGGGTTTTGCTTTCCATTGTTAAAATATGGTCCAAAACTTGTACATCTCTCCGAAGTATCTCCGTATTTTCGAAGAACGGCATCTGTTGTACATGCTGGCGAATTTTTTTGGAGAATAAAGCGATTTGAGTATGAGAATTTTCGATTGGAAGTGCCGTGCCGTCGGATCGACGATCGGAAATCGTTAGCCTTTATCATGTTTCATGTATACTAGTAACATCAAGTACAAAGTCTCGGAAAATATTAGTCCAACAAAGGAGGAATAAAAGGAGAACACACACTATCAAATAGGCAAGTCAATGTCATTTTAAAATTTTCATGACATATTTTTACTATAATATACATTTATACAGACTATACTATATGTCTATACTTAATACTGACCCTTGCGAGATTGGGCCGCCTGTGATCCTTCTTTCTGACAACTGACATTGAGCAGACAAGCAATGTTAGGCACTGTAAATCCATTTTCAACAAAAAAGTCAAGTTCTTTGCTTATTTTAAACCTTGGTCTTCCTCTGCGCACAGATATCTGACATTCAGTTAGCCTGCATGGCAGGCGGTACGTAGGAAATACCGCCTGCCGCAAAACTGGGTGTAAATTAGCCTGCAAACAGGCCCTGGGTTACGGGCGGCGCGAAGAATAGAGGGCCTGCACGGAACTATAGGTTTTCTTGGTAGTGGCGTTCGTATAGAAACGCAGGCTTCTGATTGGCTTACACTCGTTGACAAAATTACTAAAAATAGCAAATGTCAACAACAGCATTTTGAAGAATTTGAACTTTATTCATTTTAATATTATATATTATAAGACTATCGAACAAATAATATTAACACTAGAAATGGAAACCAAAAGCAATAGCAAAGCATCACAGCAAAAACGTCTATCATAAATGCCTTGAATCTATCGCTTAAATTCAATACTATAACAGTATTCTGAACTTCGTCTTCGGATTGACATCAGACTATAGTACTACATTTTGAGGTCGTCGTGGCTTCACGGATTATTCTCATTAGTGAGTAAGTCAGCAAGCAAAGGCATACAAAAGATACCCAAATATGTACGAATAATTATATTGTTGAACCTCGCTGGCATGTCATTTAGATAAATATATATCGTACATTAAACGTTGTACTATTAACTGTATAAACTGCTGACAATTTCGTCGTCGATACGGCTTCCACTATTGGCACACTCGTGCTTTCGAAGAAATTAATAAATACATGCTCATTTATCATTTATTTAGACCACAGTTAGTAAAATTTTAGACGTATTTGGTATTCCAAACCCCAATCTATCTGACCGTATTTTAGTAATAGCTTCAAATATTCAGAACATTGTTCTTTCAGTCGCACATAGTACAAGTATTACTGTACATTCAATGCCAATGGTATAGTATTTTATTCGGCTTTATATTTGTATGTGTATTGATATCTATTTAATATTTGAAGAATTCTATATTTTTCCGAGTAATATATTGTGCGGCCCGCTAATGCTTTGTATTATTGTTCACATAACATGTATATATTTTGGCATATTGTAAACACTGGACTGGACTTTGGACTTTGGACTATGGACTTTGGACTTTGGACTTTCGATTTTGGACTTTCGATTTTGGACTTTCGATTTTGAAATTATATTATTTTTAAGATTTTCGTATAATTATATTAAAATCTAAACAGAGAAGGAAAATTTACTGCTGAAAAGCGTGCTACACTGCATGCACATGCATGATATAATATACAAGGTAAAAAATACTCAGTATCAGTTTTATAGGTATACCAGCAGTGCTATTTCATAGATATAGCCTGTAGGATAGCAGGATTATCCAATATTTTGGGATTTAATGTTTAAATTTTATATAATATTTGTATTTAGTATGTATAGTACAGTTTATACTGCATAACTTCTTCCAGTTTATCATATAGACAATAGATTAATTATATAGAAACAATTGTGACAAAAGTAGCCTATCTCGGCAAATACAAAATATTGAGAAACTATAAACTATACAAGCGATTATTATTGCGCCTATTGAGTATTGTATTATGTATCTATAATATTGACTGTTCATCTTTGCATCAATAGTTTAAACTATAGTACCGTATTGTGTAATTGGTTACACGGTAACGTTTTGTTAATGTTACTTATTTTTGAAAGACATTCTTTAGCTATCCTTATCACTATGTAAGTGCTTCAGACTTCAGTTATTATTAATAAGTGTTAGTCAAGTTAGAGTGGACAGGAATATTCTAACGGAAATTTACACACTTTTTAAGACCTACTCATTTGTGTGTGAGAAGGCAAAAATCTATGTCTATGTGCTTCAGGTACTAGCAACTATTTGCCACGTTTACTGTAATACTACTCATTCGTATTTTATAAAGTATGATGACTATGAGAGTTTTCGTGTTCACTATGGCTGAAATCCGCTGAATACATTCATGAAAAGCTAAAACTGACACCGGACAAAATACAATGCAAACACAGCCTATTTATAGGCAGGCGCTAAACGGGTGTAAAGTACTATGCAAAGATGAACAATACAGGCATTAGTATTTTTGCGCAAGTGAATAAATATATAACAAATCCTACAAGTTGTCAACTGTCAAGACAAATTCCCCGATTATCACGGCCTCGCCTTCGGCGAATAATTCAGTTAAAGAGATACATAATACAGTCAATAGGCGCAATAATAATCGCGTGTAGTTTATACTTATAGTTTCTCAATATTTTGTATTTGCCAAGATACTTTTGTCACAATTGTTTCTATAAATCTATTATCTATATGATAAAGAAGAAGTTCTGCAATAAACTGTACTATACATACTATAAATACAAATATTATAATAAAATTTAAATATTAAATAAAAAATATTACTGAGATAATCCTGTTATCCTACAGGCTATAGTATATCTATGAAGTTGCACTGGTATATACGGTGGCCCATAAGTGCAAAACACAAAACAAGAAAACCAAAGCGCATTTCACGATTCTCAAACACATTTACCAGTTTTCTAGACATATATTTACATTTAACAAAACACATTTTAAAAAGTCAACACACATTTGAACATCGCAAAGCACATTTGACAAATCGCAAAACACATTTGACATCGCAAAACACATTTGACATCGCAAAGCACATTTGACAAATCGCAAAACACATTTGACATCGCAAAACACATTTGACATCGCGAAACACATTTGACATTCCAAAACACATTTGACAGATCGCGAAACACATTTGACATCGCAAAACACATTTGACATCGCAAAGCACATTTGACATCGCAAAACACATTTGACATCGCAACCAAAATTCTCGGCCCCTTTAATTTGTGGCCTGTTGAGGGTGTCAGGTGAAGCGGGAAAACACGGCTATCTTTAAAACGGGGAACGGGGGAAGGGAACGGGGAAGGGAACGGGGAAGGGAATGAGCGGGGAATGGCCGGGGAATGAGCGGGGAATGGCCGGGGAATGAGCGGGGAATGAGTGGGGAATGGCCGGGGAATGAGCGGGGAATGAGCGGGGAATGAGCGGGGAATGAGCGGGGAATGAGCGGGGAATGAGCGGGGAATGAGCGGGGAATGGCCGGGGAATGGTCGGGAAATGACCGAAATCGGGGAAAAACCTAACATTTTGAAGATTTTTGATTAAATATTTTCATGAATTGTTTTCGTTGCGTTATGGCAAATGTAGCATTGAAGTAAATCGAAATTACAGTAATAGGATTAGGTGACCGAAGCTATGTTGTTTGTGTAAATGTCGTTTCGTTTCGTTGCGTTATGGCAAGTAATCAGCCGCACCACACATTGTAAGTACAACGCAAGACAATAGACCTTGTTATATAGTTTTTGTCAAAGTTCAATTTCTCTGTTCGACGATTGATCAAAACCGTATCACGTAACAATAGAGAGGTTAAGATACCCCGAAAGCACCACTGCCAATTTCTTCAACATGTTTTAGTGATTCCCAACTAAATGTGGGTAAACAGTGATCTATTTTTCGCCTTTTTATTAGTGAAGGAAATTTAAAGCTTCCCTGCAATCCAGACATTTTGAATGTCGGCAACCAAAAGCTGTTTATGGTCGTCCGTTTGTTTCAAAATTCGCTAAATTCAATTCGCACTCGCTAAATTCAATTCGCACTCGCTAAATTCAATTCGCACTCGCTAAATTCAATTCGCACTCGCTAAATTCAATTCGCACTCGCTAAATTTGCATTCGCACTCGCTAAATTTGTATTCGCACTCGCTAAATTTACATTCGCACTCGCTAAATTTGCATTCGCACTCGCTAAATTTACATTCGCACTCGCTAAATTTGCATTCGCACTCGCTAAATTTGCATTCGCACTCGCTAAATTTCCACCACCCCCCTTAATTTAGCGAGTGCGAATGTAAATTTAGCGAGTGCGAATGCAAATTTAGCGAGTGCGAATGCAAATTTAGCGAGTGCGAATTGAATTTAGCGAGTGCGAATTGAATTTAGCGAGTGCGAATTGAATTTAGCGAGTGCGAATTGAATTTAGCGAGTGCGAATTGAATTTAGCGAGTGCGAATTGAATTTAGCGAATTTTGAAACAAACGGACGACCATAGCTGTTTGCTGACGTATTACACTATTTTATCTCACCTTTTGTCATTTGAGTATGTGGCACTTTGGGCATAGTTTTCAATGTGCGCTTCCTATCTAAGCACAATGTAAAGCTTAGTAAGAATGTAAGATAAAATTTCGAAAAAATACTGGATTGAAATGTCATCATTACAAATGAAATTAAATTTTTAGCATAGGCTGGACAGCAAGAATTTACCTGAAGGTTAAAAGAATGTTGTGTGACACAAATTACATTTAATGACAGATTTTCGCCAGGTTTTTAAACGCCGCGCTTCCTATAGCTATACGCCGCACAGTGACATTGGAATTAATACTGTTACCCGATCCTCACGTTGTATATGAAGAACGTATCAATAAAATATTTGTATGATTGTATCCAATAATTTATTTGCAGTGCATAGAGCCGGGGCTGTGGGTTAGGAGTATAAATATGCGTAAAGTTCAATTCCAATATGACCAATATGCTAATGGCATTGTCTTGCGTTATACCATTACTTTTATTGGCTTATAATGTGCGGATCGGCTGATTACTTGTATAGTTAACACTGACAAATATTGGTTTATTCAAGCCAAACAATAAATCAACATGAGAATGATAAGATCGTATAAACATCTACATATTGCGGTCTAGTAGGGTCTACTATAGCTATGGTTTAATAATTGTAACGTGCCGAGCACAATGTCAATGCAAAACAAGTGCGCGGAGTCAAAGCCAGAGTGGCGAGCCATTTATTAAATAAAGCACAATCTTATATGATACAATTGCGTGGGAGCCTTGGCCTCTCCCAAAAGAAACTACGTCATTTACACAAACAACAAGCTTCGGTCGCCTAATCCTATTACTGTAATTTCGATTTACTTCATTGCCACATTTGCCATAACGCAACGAAAACAACTCATGAAAATATTTAATCAAAAATCTTCAAAATGTTAGGTTTTTCCCCGATTTCGGCCATTCCCCGGCCATTCCCCGCTCATTCCCCGACCATTCCCCGCTCATTCCCCGCTCATTCCCCGGCCATTCCCCGCTCATTCCCTTCCCCGTTCCCTTCCCCGTTCCCTTCCCCCATTCCCCGTTCCCCGTTTTAAAGATAGTCGGGAAAACACTGTAGTAAACATACTGTTTATATTCGGTACTGTATTGAGGTGTAGCGTAGGTGTTTTTTACTGTAATATATGGATGAAGAGGAAGCAATTAGATATTACTTTTTCAGAAGGTATGAGTATAGCACGATATTAGATTTTCTGGATAAATATCACGACATAAAAATGTCAAAACGGACTCTTTTGAATCGTTTGAAGCAATATGGTTTAACCCGACGAAATTGTGACATAAATGAAGCTGTTCTTCGACAGCACATTAGCATAGAACTCGAAGGAGCTGGAAACCTACTTGGCTACCGAGCAATGTGGCGAAAACTACATTTAAAGTATGGAATAAATGTGCCAAGATCTGCTGTAGAAATCCTGTTGAGAGAGATGGACCCAGAAGGAACCAGGCTTAGACAAGCCCACCGGCTGAAAAGACGAAATTATATCAACCCAAAGCCAAATAACTGTTGGCACGCGGACGGATATGACAAATTGAAGCCTTATGGACTACCTATACATGGCTGCATCGATGGCTTTAGTCGGCGTGTGATATGGTTAAAACTTGAAATGAGTAATAATGATCCTAAAGTAATTGGAAAGTTATTTAGAGATGCTGTTATTGAAGTTGGAGGATGCCCATCAATCCTTCGAACTGATCGAGGTACTGAAAATGGAATTATGTCCTCAGGTCAGTGCTTCCTCAGAAGAAATGGTACTGATTCATTTGCTGGCTTAAAAGCTCACCGTTTTGGTTCCTCACACAGCAACCAACGCATTGAAGCTTGGTGGGCCTACCTAAGGCGATCATGGACTTCATGGTGGATTAACTTTTTCAAAGACCTGATAGACGCAGGGAATCTTGATACTAGCAATAAAATGCATATGGAGTGCATTTGGTTTTGTTTCAATAAGATCATACAGAAAGAACTGGATGAAGTAAGAGAGGAATGGAATAATCATTATATCCGAAAGTCTCGACACCATACCGCTTCAGGAATATAAAATGACGCCATTTTGAATTTAGCCTGCACAGCCCGACGAGCCCGTTTAATCATTTCCAAATGTGTTTTGCGATGTCAAATGTGTTTTGCGATCTGTCAAATGTGTTTTGGAATGTCAAATGTGTTTTGCGATGTCAAATGTGTTTTGGAATGTCAAATGTGTTTCGCGATGTCAAATGCGTTTTGCGATGTCAAATGTGTTTTGCGATGTCAAATGTGTTTTGCGATCTGTCAAATGTGTTTTGGAATGTCAAATGTGTTTTGCGATGTCAAATGTGTTTTGGAATGTCAAATGTGTTTTGCGATCTGTCAAATGTGTTTTGCGATGTCAAATGTGCTTTGCGATGTCAAATGTGTTTTGCGATGTCAAATGTGGTTTGCGATTTGTCAAATGTGCTTTGCGATGTTCAAGTGTGTGTTGACTTTTTAAAATGTGTTTTGTTAAATGTAAATATATGTCTAGAAAACTGGTAAATGTGTTTGAGAATCGTGAAATGCGCTTTGGTTTTCTTGTTTTGTGTTTTGCACTTATGGGCCACCGTAGGTATACCTATATAACTGATTGTATTTTTTACAGCAAATTTTCCTTCTCTGTTTAGATTTTAATATAATTATACGAAAATCTTAAAAATAATATAATTTCAAAATCGAAAGTCCAAAATCGAAAGTCCAAAGTCCAAAGTCCAAAGTCCATAGTCCAAAGTCCAAAGTCCAGTCCAGTGTTTACAATATGCCTATATATTTTAATATTCAGTATTTCTTCGTTGTACAATGTACACGCCTTGCGTCAATTTGACAGTTGACAGTTTATTTATCGCAGTCGACGCTGATTGGTTCGCGTTTAGCAGATGCGAAAAGGGGATGATTGAATAAAACGCATGGTTCCGTGCAGGCTCACCTTTCTCCCAGTGAGCCTGTTCGCAGGCTAGGTGTAAATGAACTACCGCCCCTGAAGCATCAACGCTATTTATAGATGCATTAATTAAGTAAATATTCAAAATTAGCCACTCCCCCAAGCTGCTCCCAAGTCCCAACTGCCCAACATAAAATAAATTCCTTGATTCTCATCACCGCCCGACTGAATTTTAAAATCCTCGTGAAAACGTTTTATTTTTCGTTATACAATATAAATGTACCGCCCGACAAAATAATTCAAGACAGCTAATTTTTTCATATTTTATATACAGTTTTTATTGCCATTTTAAAGGGGAAGTCAAGTCCGTTCTGCGCATCGGTTCTGCGCATAACAATAGAGGGCCCTCTGAGGTAAACATTGCCCAAATTTTGAATGTTTCGAATTTTTCTGAACACAAACTCTATTTCATATTCATGTAGAAGCATAACGAACCAAAATGGTGTTAGATATTCAGACAGTACATCATATTTTAAAAAATACAGCAGTTCAAAATGTAAACAAACCGTTTGTTTACATTACGGACTTGACTTTCCCTTTAAACTTCCAATTTGAAACAAACAGAATTTTGAGTGAAATTTCATTGTATTTTAAAGAAACCCAGTCATTCTGTCATTGTTCGTGGAGATACGAACTATTGATATAATGATATATAAATTATATAAATATAAAATATAAAAAATAAATCTCCCACTGTCTTCGACATTTCAAAGTGTAGACTGTGTCTAGTGATGAGAATCAAGGAATTTATTTTATGTGTTAATATAAACCAAGCCCGTTTAGCCGTTTAGCTGCCTTAAACGGTGGTTTAATAAGCTCAAAATACAAAGCATGCAAGTCTATACTATAGATTCATCATCAGTCAACAACCAAACTGAAAGTATTGAACCTTATAGAACGATAGTTTTTATTTGTTTACAATTATACATATTCAACGGGTATATAAGAGTTTAACTGTTATTTGATAATTACTGCATCAACCGGCCCCTTGTTTATACTTTGGAGGTTCGTATATAATATCTATCAAGTATCTTTGGTTCAGAACATGACTGATAGGCCTATATGGAAATCCCACTGTTCGATTCAGTGAAGAAATATCTCCTAATTTCTATCGATAGTTTTAGTAAAATGTCAACATTATTGCAATTTATGGCCTTATTGCAATTTATGGATAGTATATTATCAAATTAATACGCATGTAATTGTCTGAACGAAAATATAGACTAGCCCATACCTTTCGCCGATCATAACTTCGGCCCCTTCGGACGTATCTTCTTTGTTAAATATTCTTGTTCGAATCTCTATCAATAACACTATTTAGAGGGTTATTTTTCAGCTTGTATCTTTTAATTTGCTTCTTTTATTATGTTATTCCATTTCTGGTCTGACTTGACGTGAACTAATTTCAAAACGCAGAGTTTCAAAACGTCAAAACATTTGGTTAATGATTAACATTTAACCGAATTTAGCCGTTGATTGACAACTACATAAAAATACTAACCAATCCGTTTTTCCCGTTCACCAGCGGACGGGTAATTCAAAAACCCCTAGCCGTTTTGGGGTACATCCTCGGGTAGAAGAATTTGCATCACAGATTACGTCATCAGTTAGTTATAGTGATTAGTGTTGGGGTTAGGGTAAGGGTTAGGGTTAGGGTAAGGGTTAGGGTAAGGGTTAGATTAAGGGTTAGATTAAGGATTAGGCTTAGAGATAGGGATTGGGTTATATCTGACGCCACAAACAACACAACTAGCCGATCACGTGATCAGTTCTCCCATAGAATAAGAAATGAATAGAAGGGCAACTGAGTGTCGGATCCTTTGAAGTTGGTGTCCTCGCGCATGTCGTGTCGCGCATACCGGAAATTCGACGGCCGCCATTACTCTGGCCAGTAACTTGCTGCCAGAATAAATATAAATTGTATTGAGCGAGGGTTATATTTTCGTTTTAAAAGCATACCGTGGGAGTTTATGTTCAAAATTTTGGTTTTAATGACCAGAGCATTCAAGGAGAAGGTATGTAGTTTCAATTTATTTATTTAAAAGTCAAAGTAAATGCTCGTAGGCGCATTTTTCTTCGATATTGTTCATGGAGAACCGAACCCAGTAGCTATCGCCTATCCGTACAATAGCACAGACAGTAGTTTTAATATAGTTTTAAGTTTCGATGTTTTCTGTCTATCTTTAGCAGTGATTGAATAACAAATCATAAATGGACATCCTTATTGCGCCTCAATATCCTAAACTATTAATAAGAGTGTCTAAATGTTTGGCTCGCGAACAGTAACTTTAGTCATTTAATTAAGCCATTAAGGCTATATTTAGTCTTGTAAACCAGAGCAGCGTTAACACATGTCCAGTATATTATTTAAAGATGTGTGGCCTTGGTGTTATTTAAAGATGTGTGATTTTCTATCCTTTGGTTTAGATGTGGCTAAGTCTCTGTTGGCAAATTTTATGCTGGAGTATATTCGCACTCACATTGCCATTGGAAGGTGATGGGAATGGCTTTGATCATCGTCAAAATGTTGGCTCCAACACCAGGGCACTTTGTGTAAACAGAAAATTGATCAAAATGTATTTTTATTAAAACAAGAATTCTGATTTACAAGATTGTATGGATATATTACATCTAATGCAATGGGTCGGGATGGAATCTGCCATGTATTATTAAATTACTGTATTTGTTTCCAATCTACCATATGGATGTGAGGAACATTGTATGTCATGATATTACAAACCTGTATATGTACAGCAACCTAACAAGTTATTGGACAAAAATGATGGCCAACAATAGACACTATGAGCACTGAATGAATACGATAATTTACGTATTGGGCAGAAAACAATGGTAACGCTTGTTTACCAAATGAACACAAACAAAAGGCTGTCATTACTTGCAACAAACTTAAACATACCATGTTAAAAGAAGTCTATCTACCTCCTCCGCAGGCCATACAGCTCGTAATGAGTATGCCCGTTCACAGGTTGAAATTTGAGACGAAGGCTTTTTTGTTTCCCACCACTTTTCTTGGAAGGCCTGCACAGGAGGTAGGAGTAGGGCATCTATTTGTTCTTCCTAATTACTTTCTTCCTAATTATGTTCTGCCCAATTATTTTCATAAGTGGAGACTAATTAAGTGATTTTTATTGACATTGTATAAATATAAAATTCCGAAGTACACTTTACAGTATGTAGTAATTATTGCATCTTGTAATTTCAATACTTTTTTGAACAAAATAAATTCATTCATACAGTGTGTATAATGCATTTATTTATTTTATCGATATACAAAGCAGCAGAAAACATTCAAATTTTTTCATCTGTCTTTACGGAAACCGTGGACCTACCTTTTGCTATATATAGCCGGGAAGCGAAAAAAACTTAGTTCAGTATGCGATCCTTTGGTATTTGAGCAATTAACTGCCAAGCAGTATGACTGCTACCCCCTTTCTGCTTTGTTTTACTACTACTCATATTTTAAAAACACTTGTAATGAGCAGAAAAGCACTGGAAATACTTCGAACTATCGCAGAAGAAACGCATGTGACAGGAACAAGCCCTTTAAATGCAGGTGTTTCAGGTGGTTATAGGAATCCTGGATTCCAGGTTGAACCCTCAGTTAATTAAGTTGGTGAACCTGAGGTTTTAAAGTAAATATATACACACTGTATTGCAAGTGGGGGCATCACCATGATATATATTATGACATTTAAGTGCAGTTTTCAGACCAAATTGTGTACACCACTGTATGTATCATTTTTATTTAGGACACAAAATGCACACTGTAAATATTAAAATCATGAACACAAGTCACAAATCAATTGTATCTTCTCATATTCAAATGTTATTTCATTTAATACTATACAAAAATAGTCCATTCATTTACTAAGTTTTAAAAATATGATACCATTCTGTGTTGGTGTAGTGTACTCAGGTGAATATGTGGTAGAATATGTGGTGTGATGTGGTGAATATGTGGTGAATATTGTGGTAGAATACATTGGTATCGAAGGAACTAGATTCTGTTCCGAAATATCACTTACTCGAATGAAAAGCATTGGGCTAGTATTCCGAAGGTCGTAGGTTCGAATTCCACCGTGGCCGGGCATATTTTTCAAGCTCGCCCGGTGTGGATATACAGTACACTCAGAGTAACACCACAAATATTATATTATGATACATTTAGTTATTATAGCTGTTATACAATTGCTATGTTTATTATATTAATGCTATTCATACATAAATCAATGAGCAATATGGTATTGACAATGGGTATTGAGATGAAAGAAGCAAACAGGATGATCAGCTGCAATGAAACTAAAAAGAAAACAAAGTGATAGCAAGGTCAGCAGCTGTAGGTGACAAGTAAACAAATTTAAATAAAATTTAAAAACCCATGTAGTAGGGCAGCAATCAAATATAAACCTTGCAAATATTGACACTTTACAAAAAATGCATCTCAAAATTCCTGGTAACTCCATGAAACCTAATTTATAATTTGAACCTAAAGTAATCACTGCATATAAGAACGAAACAGAAATCATTCTTCATTAGGATCTGGATCGACATGCAGTTTTACTATTAAAGCACTATTTCGCTCAGCAAATGTCTTTTATCATAGTAACATGATTGTTTTTGCTTTTTACAAATAATTTCTTATCCACGACATCGACTATTTATGTTCAAAAGTAAAGTGGCATAGCGGCCGTGTTCGAGTCAAAACACAAATTAATAAATAAAACCTCAATGTCTTTCCGAAATACAAATGGTTATCAGTTATTTTATGACAATAATGATAAGAAATGCTAAGAAATATTAGGAAGAGGATAGCCAATTGACTCAGATGAGTGTTCATATTCATATAAACTTCACACAAAATATAATTGTATCGCTGCATGTAAACATTGTTGTATAAAATGTGATTTTTGCTCGAGAAAAGTATCTAAATTCCTGTAGACGGCCCAGTCGTTATGTCTTACCTTATATATTTCGATTTCTGTACAAAATTCCCACATTCGTTGATAAACATGGTCAAAAAACGCGATTTTCCAGCCAAAATATCTTCTTTCGCTATATATTCTATAGTACGCCAGCAGCCAGTTACTGGCCAGAGTAATGGCGGACCTCACGCATGCGCATAAAAATTTACGGACGCGTTGCACACGTGAGTTGCCCTTCTATTCATTTCTTATTCTATGACCAGACATTGGTATTGTACTTTATATAAATTATTTCATATTTTGTGTATACAGTAATTTGCAACATGTATAATATTAGACCTTTCATTGACATTGGCATTGTCCATTGAGGGCTTTATTGAAGAATAATCCAGCTTCTTGAGACTTGTATAATGGATTAATGCCGCTGTGAGTTATCAATATTTAAATGAACTTTAATCTTTATCGGCGTATTCCGTAACCAATATTTTAGAAGTTTAGTCTGTTTTACCAAACAATACTGGAGGCAAACAACCTATCTATCCATGGAAACTTTAAAAGGTTTGCTACAGTAAAACTCATTAATATAAGCGAGACTTCGTGTGCATATACAGTTTATGAATTATGTATGTACCTGATAAAACGTAGGACACTTTATACCAGATATAATAAAAAATACTTTGATAAACCTTTTCGGCTGTCATTCCTTTGCATTTAAGGGGAGAGGGTAAATGGCGATAGAATTTATAGGAGATGCTGTGCAATATTTTGGCTTCAACAAACAGGTACTCGTGCAGATCGACAAAAAAGGAAATTCATGCAGTTGTGAATTGTCGTATGTCAGCTGTGCACTGACACCCACTGTCGATTTCAAACAATTTTGTACGTTATATTTTGTCTTCCTGGTGTTTAACATAAACGATGATAACCTTTTTAAAAAAGCTAGAGCAATATGTCTATAAACAGTTTTAGAATCAATAAAATGGACATTCAATGTGTATTTGGCTTGTGTCCAAATGTGTCACGTTTAAGACCGGCAAGGCGCTAATCCTACGACCTATAAACAGTCGCTTTTGAGACATCTGTTTAAAACATTTATACCGTGTCCATATCAGAACAATTCATTGGCATATTATAAGCTTATTATAAATATTAGAGCCAGAACAGAAACGTACGCGTGAAATGAAACTACGCCCGAACCGGCGAAGTCCGAGAAAATAAAAATATTTCAAAGCGTACAGCCATACGTTCTCGTTGCTTGATTTCCTGAATTTTCTGTTGCTATAAGAATCTACATTTTAGCATGTTTGTATAATTTCAAAGCAAACAGAAACCAATTCAGCAAGTAGTTTGAGGTATATATGATTCTTGAAGATGAATTAGATGATTGTACAGACCGGCCACTCCTTGCAATCGAAGTGCGGAAGTGGAAACACGTATATGAGACTTTTCCATCCCCCCCTTCGGCTATCAATTTTGTATGTGTGACGTCATCAGCCCCGACCAGGGTCTTTGCTTCCCAAGAGCAAAGAGCCTGGGAACGAGGTTGACTAGTCAGTAGGAAATATGAGTTAAGAAGCCGATTTTGAATGACATTATTTACCATATATTTTTCAATTTGAAAATTAAAAGCCATAATTCACATTATTTTGCAACTATGCTCGTCGCCTAATTCCATATAAGATATCTATGCCTAATTCAGATAACATGCCGGTGATTTAGAATAAAGAGGTTCTTTTTAAAATCATTTGAATTCGGTCTCCCATGGAGAGATGTTGCAAATATACAGACACCTTGTCTGCTATAAGCAATTATACACTTTAATCCATTGCCAAAAGCTAAAAGCATTTTTAAATTAATTGATCATTTTCCGTAATTCGGAGATAAAAAGATATTCGCTACGACGTATGTTTTTTGTTGTTTTTTTTCCTTAATTTAGATATTTCGTTATCTTAATTCTTGATACCATTGTAATAAACCACAAAAAGATCCTTGACCTTGTAGGACCTAGTTAACATCTACGCTTCTCACGAATCATGAAAATAAATTAATGTTTACGAATTTTAACTGTTACAACTACGTGAAATAGGGTGTGTTTGTGCCACAATGGCAAGTGCCTTTTATTTGTACATTCCTGTACCTCTGATGTGAGAGTTCTTTCAGAGTCCCTGACTCAACCAAACACAATGGACCTCCAAATTCAATTTAGAACTGATAGAACTATGCAGTATCAGAAGTTCAGAACTATAAAGTTAGTTTAGTTTTCATTTTCTACTAGTACTGTTGTAATACTGAACCATTATCGGTGAGAAAAGCAGTTTAGCACTGAAAGAGCTAGCTACCCATTATCAACATCGATATTAAACTTGAACTGACTTTCAGTAAACTTGAAACTTTAAGTTAGTTTAGGTTTCCTCACGTTCACTTATAATTATATACTATGTTTGTTGGTCGAGCAGAATCGTAAAAGGTTGAGTTTCAAGTCGCAGAATCGTAAGCAGTGGCTTAGTTTATGGGCGACCGCTCCTTCCCCCCCCCCCCAAATCACCACAAAAACCACCCTAAGTGCAACATTCCGATCAAAATGAAATTGAGTTTTTTCCTCCCAGCATCACAGAGGGGAAATAAGGTGATACGGACCCCTCCTCCAGATTTCCAAGATGACTTTTCCAATTATTTATTTCCGAAAACAAATGTCTGGGAAAAGGTACGTTTTTGAGATCATAGAAAATCATGTCTTTGATGTACTTTATAATCATTGGAATTCTCCAAAATGTCACCCCAACCAAACTGCTTGAAATCGCATTTCAGGGACCCAGATTTCAAACTTTTTCCGGGGGAACATGCCCGGAACATGAGCCATGCTTTTGGTTTTCGCTTCGCCTCTCCAAAAATGTGGCCCTGGCTACGCCACTGCCAATAATCCGACGTCTGGTTATGCGTCCTCAGTATAAAGACGGGCACAAAACGTATTGTGCGTCTAGACGAACTACCATCGGTTGTGCGTCTCTTAAGACGAAGAATCGAACATAGTTCGTCTAAACGCATACTGCGTCTTGTGCCCGTCTTTTATAAAAAACTAGAGACCTTACGATTTCAGGACCGGCAACGCGACGACAACGGCAACCAATACAATAGATCATTGAAAAGAATAGAAAAACTACAATATACGAATAATTTAGACATTGTCCTCGCTCTGTTTACAACGCCAAATCACAGATTTTCACGTCTTGATAGACCTTGATACAACGGCTGCATTTCAAGCCGCAACAAGTGCAACTTCAAACTGGGTTCAGGAGAACTCTTCCCAACCATAAAACCCATGTCTTCAACTTCTAAGACTGTATTAAATTCATACGATTGATAATATACGACGAATTATCTTTACTACCATTTATTTGAAGGAGTTTGTTTTGGCCGTCGTCGTCGCGTTGCCGTCCTAAAATCGTAAGGTCTCCACTGAGGACGCATAACCAGACGAACAACAAGTGCTTGCCCAAGTTCGTCCAGACGCATAATGCGCGTCTAGTATAAAAACGGCCAATTTAATGTCATTCTAAAAATCGTAAATATAGTTTCTTCTAGGGGGCAGTTGCCCCCGCGCTGTGTACGGCCCTGGGTATATGAAAAAGCGAACCCACAGCCATTGTGCTGATATCATATGGACAACTTTCAACTTTTCTTTTGCAGCATTGTCAAATTGTCAATTGATACTGTACTTTTATAGCTAGAGTTAAATATTGTTTAATCATTTACACAATTTCAGTCTTATGTTCTGCCTTAAATATTTTGTCCTTTCCATATACAATTTGTGGATAAAAGCAAGATTCAAAATGATGGTGATGTGTGACATCTACACTGCATGCTTCCAACAACTAAGTAAACACATATTTTGGACAATTTGCTGATAATATCGTGACTGGTGATAATACTGGATAATATAGGAAGATCAGAATATACAACAGCCAATTGCATGCAGGGAATGTAATTGCTCGGTATGACGGTATTTATGGAAACATCACACGGTCGTATACGATTCTTATCCTAGGCCTAGCTCTCATCATAAAGCTATATTATTTAGATATTATTTAGATGCGCACATCCTTTACATTATTAGGTATTGGCATTAAGATGGAGATACTAAATTCTGCAACGTATATAGTATATACTGATAATATATTACCAAGATCTGCTTCTGCTAACTCACCAAGTATTAAATTATCGCATGCAGAACAATATGTTGCATAAGTATAATAAGATTCCAAGATTCCAGATTCCAAGATTCCATGTTTTACAACTTACCAGTGACAGACGGCGCTTCAATTTTCCGTTTTGTAAGTGTGAACACGGTGAATAAGCGCTTCACAAGCATTCAAGTATATTCAATTCTACAAAATTCAGTAATTATCACACACTACTAAAGCAACTAGGTTGAGCTGTACGACTATAAAGTTTCTTTGTTTCACATGAATTTAACACTTGAGATGTAAACTCCCACAAGCCAATGTCTTGAGGCGATTATGAAGAAATCTCGTTGATTCTGGGTCCACATCATGTCCAAAGCCATCTAGACGTAATATCTTACAGGCCTCAGCTTTATGTATAAACTCACTCATATCCCGCCTAACAGCAAACGAAAATATTGTTCTAATTTTTACCCCAAAATCTCGCATTGCCACCCCTACATATGCGTCGTCTGTGTGAAATGGTTTTCTTATATAGACATAGTTAAATAATCCATTGAGAAGGTCGCTGGACAGAATAAAGAATGCACCAGCATTAAACATCGGAAAATTCACTTCACCAAAATATTTCCAACTAACTGTCCATTTGCCACCAATAACACGATTAACTCTGATTGGTAGGTAGGTCATACCTCCGTAAAATGGTCTTGGAAACTTAGCATTAACAAGATATTCCAACACACGTGGTATGCGCACATAAACATCATCGTCTGTTTTCATTGTGTATTTTATATCAAATTTACTTGCCCACACTTGTCCCATGTAGAACTTGACAACATTATTAATATAGTTGTCTGTGATATTTCCTATCAACATATCATTGTGTTGTCTAGCTTCAGCCATGTTTAGTTCATCATCGTTCGTTCCCGATCCTGCTTTTCCAACAACAAATACGAGAAGCCACCTTAAATCTTTCATTCTTTCATCTTCCAAAGCTTTACGTTGTTCACAATTGCTGCGATTTCCCCAGGTTTGTCGGACAGCCTCGCGACGTTTTCGAAACTCGTCGCCCTTGGCGCCCGAATTGACCAAAACCATCATAAAAATCTCTGGTGTTGTTTCAACTTTGGGCGAAATTTCCGGGAAAACGAACTTAAAATCTACAAAAGGGTAATAGTCGTTTACTATGTCAATCGACGGTTTTGCCGTTGGCTTTCTCGTTGTTCCTATAGGATTTTCAGAAATCTTCGATGCATGAAAATTGTTTATAAATTTTATCAATGTTCTATTAATTCCTTTTAGCATCATAGCCACGTTAGCCGCATTTAAGTTATCTTTACTTCCCGTAGCGATATCCACTTCCGTAGAGCTGTTTCGTTTAGAATTATGAATACATTCAACTTTAGCATCGGGTTGTCGTATTGTGAAAGCATCACTCGCTGTAGGAAGTCTGGTCGAATTGGACACATGTGCAATGTAGTTTACGAAAGACCATACCAAACAAACCAGAAACAAAAGCACCAAAACCATGAATTTTCCTTTTTTCCGTTTTAAAGATGCCATCATGAGGTTTAGTGTCAGTGTAGCGTGTGGATTCACGTAATGCATTATCGCGGACTCACGGCATGACATTAATTTTCAATGGACAACTTGCATGTTAGACTAAATTTTAATCTAAGCAAAGAAAAGGCAATCACACACCACAGCTAAAAAGAACATAATGAAATTAGTAAAATTGCAAAATTTGGTTGCGAAATGTTGTAAAGCTTGGAAAATATAGTCTTGCAAAGTTTGCAAATTTTGTATATATGTTTGTATATTACGTGCGGAAATACAAACAGAAACAACATTTCGTAATTTTACAACATTTCGTAACCAAATTTTGCAATTTTACTAATTTTAATTTAGATAGAATTTAATTTTTTTTAGATAAAAAAATAGTCTAACATGCAAGTTGTCTATTCATACCATAGATATCTTATATACACTAGATAGCGCATCTCTTTTAGTAAAATTGAAGCCAAGAATATTCCAGCGGTTACCCCCATTTGAATAGATGGCGGCCATGTTGATCGTTCCCACTCCGCTAATAAACGCTTAAAAACAACAATAACTTTCATCATTTGAATAGTTTGAAAATGTATTTGGAATAGGGTTAACTTAATATTTAAGTAGGAAATATACGAATCTTCTCTCATTGCATCGTGGGAACAACCTGAGACTGCAATCACGGCTTCAATTTTTGAATTGCAGAATAATTAGATGCACTATCTAGTGTAAATAAGATATCTATGATTCATACCTCTGAAAAGCTGTGAATAATGTTTATTTCTTCTTTTTCTTTATTATTTAATCAAATTAAACATACTTAAACAGCTCATTGTATAAGAGCTCAGAAAATATACATTTTCAGGTTGTTTATTTAGATATTGTGTTTGATGCACGCGCCTCGCATACTGCATGTGCCCATTAATGTTTAATCGGCACGGTTTTTAACTAAATTGACTAAAATGATATTATACTGGATAATATATAATAAGACCTTTATAAAATTAGGACATCAGTAAGAAGATAAAGGATTCTTTATTATTATTTAAGCTTTATTTTGACACAGAAGTAATATATACACAGATTATTACATTTGAGAAACATATACATGGACATCAAATAACAGGTGCCAAAAGAGGCGAAGCACAAACGAGTAATTAGTTACTTGTCTGTGATAATTACATGTGATTCTCTATGACTATGGCACGGAAATTTTTAAGGAAAGGAAATATTAGAATTGAGATAGTTACAATGTTATACATGCACAAATTCTATGACTACGACACTGTTGCAAAATAAAATTGCATTTTAATATTTAAATTGCACCTTAATATTTAAGTTCCGTGTTTAAGAAATAGAAAACATACGAATCTTCTCATTTCATGGGAATATCCTGAGTCTGCAATCGAAGGGCATTTCACCCCAAAAATCCCGTACACTTCGTCAAAAAATCCGGAAAAATCCAGAAAAAATCCATGAAATCCTCAAAATCCGCTGAATCCATCAAAATCCAAAAAATCCCTTATAAAACACAGAAATCCTTCAAAAATCCACAGAAATCCTTCAAAATCTTTCAAAAATCCGCAAATCCACAAAAAATATATGAAGTACTTACAGGTGTAATTTACTCGTAAAGGTTCTTTGCCAACGTTCAAATAGTAAACATTTTCGACATCTTACCCAAATAAATAATGCACTTATGCTTGTCAAAGTTTTCAACAATCTATGGCGAACCTCAACAGCGAAAGTTGCCATTCTCTGATAGGTTAACTCACGCCGGAATATCTTGGATTTCTTAAGTTACAAGTCGTTCTCCGGGGTACGGGTACGTGTATATCACCCGTACCCGTAAACCGGAACCGGGGTATCTTAACCTCTCTAATATAAACGCTTACCGTGATCGCTGTCATTATGTTTCGTAATTATTGGACCACTCTACATTTCCATTTATACGCTCGAGTGTACGTTAAGTTTTTTAGCCTATTACTACTAAATATGTGTTCTTGTTACAATGACGTTATGTTGTAAAATATAATTACAAAACCAAAAGTTATTCACCATTGTCTTTTACTATTTTTGAAAGAATAATGAACTTGTTTGAATGTTAAACAAAATGACTGCATGCCACAGCCTTCGTTAGTTTCTGAAGGCTGTGGTCCTAGTCCCAGTCCTCTGTCGACCCTGACGTCCTGGCATAACGTTGACGTCGTGCAACTTAAAATTATTTGTTCAAAACGTTACCTACTGTAGCTCTATAACTCTATAATTAAAAAAATCCAGAAAAAATCCGAACAAATCCGGAAAATCCAACAGATTTTCAAAAATCCAGAAAAAATCCGAACAAATCCGGAAAATCCAACAGATTTTCTCTTCAAAAATCCGCTAAAAAATCCGGGAAAAATCCGCTAAATCCGCCAAAAAATCCGCGGTTTTTAAAAATCCGAAAATCCCGTACGCTTTTTTGGAGTGAAATACCCCTCGTCTGCAATCACGGCTTCAATTTTTGAATTGTAGAATAATTAGATGGGCTATCTATAGTGTATATAAGATATCTATGGTATAGATGCCCAAAAACCCGACATTTCTCTTTCAATTCTATTTGCGATACAATGCTCAGCTATTGGAGGTCAGTCTCAGTCCCTTTCTATTCTTCTTGCATGTCTGCGGGGTCGGACACGAAGCTGCAAGCTAAAGGCCCGGTCACACTACACAACGATAACGATAAATTGTAAACACGCGATAATTGTCAAAAAAATGGTGTCAGTGTCCACACAACAACGAAAATGATAAAATTATCGTTGAACGATAACGATAACGATTTTAAAATCGCTCACCTGAGCGATTTTTTTTTCAGTCGGACGATAACGATAAATTTTTGACCAATCAGCGCGCGTATACAAGTTATCGTATCGTTATCGTTGTGTAGTGTGACCTGGGCTTAAGAGTGTGCCGATTACATAGATATCTTATATACACTAGATAGCCCATCTAATTATTCTGCAATTCAAAAATTGAAGCCGTGATTGCAGACTCAGGATATTCCCATGAAATGAGAAGACTCGTATGTTTTCTATTTCTTAAACAGGGAACTTAAACATTAAATACATTTTCAAACTATTCAAATGATGAAAGTTATTGTTGTTTTTTAAGCGTTTATTATAGCGAGTGGGAAACTCCAACATGGCCGCCATCTATTCAAACGGGGGTAACCGCTGGAATATTCTTGGCTTCAATTTTACTAAAAGAGATGCGCTATCTAGTGTATATAAGATATCTATGGCCGATTAGCGATGCGGTCCGTTACAAAAACTGGAATTAGCTGGAAAAAATGATATAAAAACTGTTTACGACCTTCAGAGCTGTTGGACGTCAATGGCCGCCATCTTGGTTTCACTTTTCTCATAGGCCGAATGACTGAAGTTCTTACTCCAGTTATATAAAGTATATATATAGAGCTCAGTGCGACAGTCCCGGAGGAGAGAGAGAGCAATATATAGAGAAAGCTCACTGATATATCCTCATTCCTAAGACTTTTCGGCTACAGGGATGATAGTGATAAATTGAAAATAATAGTGTGCCCAATAGACCTTTCCCCTTTTGAGTGAAATTTTGATCTAGACAAGCCTGGACAAAAAATGTCATCACAGCTTGAAAGAGAATCAAAAAATTAGTAATATTCCGAAGTTTCGTTGCGAAATGTTGTAAAATGCGGATAATATAGCCTTGCGAAGTTTGCCGTTTTTCAGTCATTTTGCATTACAAATTGGGAAATTGGTAATCAGTTTGATCATCTGATTACCAATTTCCCGTTTGTAATGCAAAATGACCGAAAAACGGCAAACTTCGCAGGGCTATATTATCCGCATTTTACAACATTTCGCAACGAAACTTCGCAAAATTACTAATTTTGTGATGCTCTTTCAAGCTGTGATGAAATTTTTGTCTAGATCAAAATTTCACTCGTAAGGGGAAAGGTCTATTTGGTATGCTTAGCTAGGTTAATCTAAAATTCACTTACGTATTTTTGTTTCCAGGCTCCACAGGTGTGGCCAAGACAATCTTACGGAATGGTCCTGTACCAACAACGGAATGCACAAGATCACTTTTCTTAGCATGACCAACTGTTCTCTCTTCTATAAGTGACTACATAAAATCACACAAAATCTTACTACCAAGGCTCTGTGAAAGTACGGCCTTCATACCCCGAGCTTCTGTGGAGTATCGGAAGATTATATATTTTTGTAAAATCATTAATAATTCATGAAGAAAACACAAACGAAATCATGAGCGTGAAGGAGTTTGTATATCTGATATTTGATATAGGTCTATTTGGGTCTAGCTAAAAAATAATGGTGTCATGGGGCCCCCAGGGACGATTTGCCCCGGGCCCCAATTCTCTCGGCGGCCCTGACAACCTCTCGCCTACGGCTCGAGTTTGTATATCAGATAAAGATCAGCTGCTCATGTTTAAACTAGTACATATATATAGACATAAATATATATATATATATATAGATAAACAAATATGATTTATCAATTAAAATTCCTTTGAACTTCGCAATATCCATTTCAAAAAGTGTGCGTGGGGGGAGGGGGGAGGGGACGGAGCCAGCAACGTAAATTATTATAGATTATATAATACCTTATTGAATTCTGATCGTTTAATTGGCTGTTTATGGTCACGTGATATTGAATAGAAAATTCCATTTCCCAAGAGTGCAATGGAATACGTTCCATTGCACTCTCTGCGAGTGCAATGGAATAAAACGTATATAGTACAATTGCACTCTTTGTGTTTTCGATAAATCGCATCCCTCAAAATGCTTCTCATACGAATCTATTAGTCTATTTTGGTATTATATAAAACAAGTAATGAATGTTTTTTCGTGCAATGGTAAGAATATTTTCATTCGAAAAGGCGAATGGTAAGAATATTTTCATTCGACGAGGCGACAGCCGAGTTGAATGGAACATTCCATCTTTCACCTCATGAAAATATTCTTACCATTGCACTCATAGACATTCATTATTTGTATATTATATTACGAATATCCAAAAGTGAGAGGGACGTGTATTATTTCAAAGCGCGGCAAGAGGTCGTGCAGGCAAAAGGTCATGCACTCACGTGCCGGGAACAAGATTGCAATATAGCTACTGTAACTCAAACCCAGGCGACGTAAATGACAAATTTAGAACACCTATTTGTATTCGTTTTACCCTTTTGCTACCAAAGCAATATCTCTTACCATTTGATGAGCCATAATACAACATTCAGCTAGACGTAGCCATAGTCTTGGATTGGACTGATAAACTTGAACGGACTCAATAAGACAATCAAAAGCAACCAATGGTCGACCGTCATGTAGCATTTGTACACCAAGATTGTACAGTAAATGATAGCGACAATTCAAAGATAATGTACACAGTGGTCTGTTGTTTAATGGATTACCTTGGAAAAAGAAAAGAATGCCGAGTCTATTCTTTGGCGTGCCCCAGTGTTACCTGACTCGTACCCAGTCCCTGAATGAGGATTGAAAAAAATAATAGTGCATGATGGGAAAGATCAATCACACTCCTCAGTCACTGATCTATATATGTACACATTGACGACTGGGTACGAGTGAGCAGTATTACTACAGTACAGTAGGAAACCTAAACTAAATCTATTTAATACTTCTATCAGTTCTAAACTGTTCTGCCTAGAGGTCGTGAAAGAGCTTCAATAGCTTCCCATTCTCTCGTGCCCGCGAATACCGCCTGCTACGCAGGCTACGCCGAATCGACTATCGCTCATATTCGACGAGAGTGAGTGGAATAACTGTTTTATTATATACACAAGGTCTGAATTCACAGACTTTGCTTTTCGGATATTTTCAATATTTTTCGGCCGATTATTTCTTCAAAAATATATATTTTTAACCATTTTAAATTTTAAAAATTCATTTGCTAACCTGTAAACAATTTGTGGGAGTTTTTTCATTGTGTTTTTAATCCTGTAAAGGCTATAAAAAGCGAACAACTTGCCGTTTTCTCGTTCGCAAAAATCGGAAATTCAGTTTGAGCCGCCATTTTGTTTTTCT